ATAAGAGATACAGGAGAGTGATGCTAACTAGTGATGATGAAAGATAAGGTAATACGTAGCGGAAACGGAGTGACGATGCGGATGATAGCAAGTGGAATATAAGTACAAGTCAAGAGTAGGAAAAAAACGTAAGTCCAAGGGCAGGCGACATAGACGCGGGAAATGAGGAGGCGGTGACGGGCGAAGACAGCTAGTTCTTCTTCTTGTTCCTCGGCTTCGGTGCCTGTGGCTTCTTGGCCACTGCCTTGCCTGCCTTGGTCGCCTTCTTCTTCACCGGCTCCTCCTCCTCCTCCTCGTCTTCCTCCTCCGGCAGCGGGAGCTTGCGCTTGCGCGAAGGGCCTGATGCCGCCGGCTGAGACGGCTCGGGCTCCGGCTGATCAGCCTTCTTGCTGCGACGAGTCGCTAACGGCGGGCCAGAGGGCATGTTGCGTGGGCCACGCTTCCTCGGGGATGGCTCGGGAGCCTCCTCCGCCTCCTCGACCGCCGGCTCAGGCGTGACGATGGGTTCGGGTGCGGCGGCGGGAGGCGTCACGCTCTTCTCCACCGGCGACTGGGACTTCTGCTCCGCAACGGTCGTGCTGGGAGCATCCTCCTTGTCGACGATGTCATCCTCGTCCCCAGAGTCCAGTTCCGACAGCTCGCTGTCGAAGCCATCACGCGTGGGCGCCTGTCCCGACGGTCCCAACGCCGCGTTCTTGTCCTCGCCCGAGCCAGACTTGCCAGCGTCCCCCTTTTCGGGCAGTTGCAGCCTCACGTGTTTGCCCTTCGCAGGGCTAGCCTCTGCCACGGGTTTTGTCGAGCGTGGCAGATTCTCGTCGTCCGAACCCATGGGTAAGTCGCTCTCTGCCGGAGAAGGAGCGCTTTGGGCAGGGGGGAGGGCAAGCGGCGCGGTCGTGGGAGCGTCTGCGGAGGATGGCTGGCGTGGGGCAGGCGCGGGGGAAGTGGATGTCGTCGGGGCTGATCCCGACGTCGTCGGCACGGGAGGCAGGGTCGGGATGCGCGTGGGGACAGGCGGAGCAGGCGGGGCGGGCATCGTAGGCGGAGCGGGCGTCGTAGGCGGAGCGGGCGTCGTAGGCGGAGCGGGCGTCATTGAGGCCGAAGCCTGCGGGCCAACTGCCGGAGGCGGTACATTCACCTTCCCGAGGGTGTCCGTTGGTGAAGTCGGCGTTGTCACAGATGCCGTAGGTCCTGATCCTGCCACAGGTGTCGCGGGTGCGCGCTGCGAGGAAGACGTTGCTGTCTCCTCAACAGTGGAAGGCTTAGCTGGAGGGACAGCTTCACCTGCCTGCGCGGGTGCGAGCGGCTGAGTAGCTGGCTGGCGATCGGGCACGATAACGGCAGCCGGCACCTGCTTGGTCGGGTCCTCGGCAAGAGCGCCAGGAGGCTTGACTGCTGGCGCGTCCTTCCTCGGGGCAGGTGCAGACGCCGAACCGAGAGGGAGGGGGGCGCGGGTGGGTCCAGAGGTTCCCGACGTTGACGGTTCGGGTTGCTCGGGAGCGGTGTCGGGACGCATCGGGACATTCTTGTCGAAGTCGTCCTGCATGGGCGCGTCCTCGTGAGTGGCGTCCGCGTCCTCCTGCATCTTCTCCTTGCCACCCTGTTCTTCCTCCTCATCCTCAGTATCATCCTCGTCCTCCGAAGGAGTTGGGACCCTGCCCGGCGTTACGCCATCAAGGGAAAGACCGTAACGAACAGCCTTCTGCGGCCGGCCACCTAATGCCTCGCGCGGGTGCTTGACGTTGAAGATGGGCTCGTCGATGCCCAAGACGAACTCGATCGCACCCAGCCGCTGGTGAAGACGGTCGAGGGAGCGCGTAATCTCGTCCAGAGTGTCGACGATGCCGGCGCGATCGGCAAACCCTGCAAGTGAATCAGCATGGCTGTTGCCACCTTTTAAAGGTGCAAGTACGTACGGAATTCTGTACCAGCAGCCCCAACGACGGGCCGAGAGGGCACAGCTGGCATGGTCGGGACCGTCGGGTTGCTCGGGCCAGCCGTCGGGACAGGAACCAGCGGTGCTTTGTCCTTGCCCGCGCTCGACCTCGAGCGGGTACGAGGACCGTGACCGTCAGATGGGACCGGCGCGTCGACGTCCATGGCCTCAGCGGTCGTGGGCGCTGGCGGAGGCAGGGCAGCCTCGAGAATTTCCCCCTTGACGGCTTGCACGTTCGTGACGTTCATGCTCGGGAAGGTCTCCCGATAACTCGCGGTAGTGGACCACGTCTTCTCCAGCTTGACGAACCGAGACGTTCCCTCGCCGCCGGGGAGCTTGAGGGCGAAGTCGGCGCGCGTGATGGTGCCTAGAAAGAGACGGTAAGCAAGGTCCCAACGTTCCCGACGTTCCCGACATGCGACTCACCAGCCTCGTCAATGTACCACGGCCAAGCCTTCAGCTTCTTCTCAGCCACAAGCTTCTCCAACAACGCAATCCGCACAGCC